AAAGAGTGTCGTTCTGACACTTTTTTTTTGTTTCAAAAAGAATGTCGTTTTAGAATTCCAATGTAATTTTTAACATAAAATACCATTTTTAACCTCAATAAATTCAGAAAATTAATTATAAATATGATTCCAAGAGTCATTTCTGCAAATTAATAAGGGTATAAGAGATATTTTATCTTATTTCTTAATTTGTGTGAAGAATGTCAAAGCGACACTCTTTGTGAAACGGAGGGAGTATTGTATTTTTCTATTTTTATGTATTTTTAGTTTTGAAATTTGTTTGTCATTGTATTTTCTATTTATATATTTATTATGGTTGTTTTTAAAAAAAATATAATCTAAATAACTAGTTTTAGTATTATAATAAAATTTATATGTAAAAAATAACAAAGTTTTTGTTTAAGATTAATCTGATAACATATAATAGGTGAATGACCAAATTATAAAAAAAATTACTTTAAAATGGAGGTGATAAATAGTATCACTCCATATATAGAGGCGTACTGTTCATATCTCTATTTTGGAGGTGGAAAACTCTATAATAAAGTTCGGCGGTAGAAATGGAGTAGGGTTGGAGATTGTCTAAAGATTTCTCTACATCAATTTTGTTGTTCATATGTTTTTCTTCTTCCTTTGGTTTCTCCAAGCCTTTTTGTTGTTATGAAGGTCTTTCTGAAATTTTGGGTTCTAATTCATCTTTGTTATCCACATTTGCTACTGCTAATTAAATTGCATCAATTTTTTGGTGACGAATATTGTGATGCAGCTAGATATTTGGAAAAAAATTCAAATATTTTATCATATATATCTTTATTATTTATTTTTAGATTTCGATAACTATTTTTTATTGTTTTAGGGTTTTCTAGGTTGAACATTTTCTTATATATGAATCGTTTATACTTAATATTATATTTGATTTATGGTTTGGATTAAGAGAGAGTTCTCTCTTTACCACCATTTTTACCACCATTGATATGGGTACCCTTTTTGACTATTCAACAATCTTAAGAAAACTACGATTCCACTGTATTAGATTGTCACTGTATAGTCAAATTTTTCATACTTTTCTGCATGATGAGAGTTCCCTGAATTTATAAATTAAAAACAAATAAATTTGAAAATGGTAAAATAAATTCACAAGTATAATAAGTTGTTTGATAAACTTAAAAAAATAACATATAAATAAATATCATTTTGGAATGAGAGGGATAGTATACTACACAATGCAGCTTCTCTTCCGCTGGAAACTGTCTTCATGCAACTTGATAGATCAATTCGTGACTCCCTATTGGCTCGCATCTCCATGTCAAGACCTATTATCCCAATGGTGTAAGAATATTTATATTTTTATGTGACCTATGTGTCTTTCGGTTTAATTGTAAAGATCAAGTTTATATTAAAATTTAAGATTCTAATATAAAATACGATACCGTGATGGGTCGGTTTCGATTAAAGTCATTAGAATCTGGGTGTATTGATAACCCTCCTCCTTTATCTTTATAAGTATTATTTTTATGTGATTATATATATATATATATATATATATATAAAGGGTTTATACATGTTTATAGTTAATAAAATAACATAACTATATGAAAAGGTGTGATGAAGATACATGACTGTTGGCATGTACGTGTTTGTTTATAAGTGATGAAAAACATCACAATTAAGACAACATAAAAAAAAAGCACACAAAAGAAACCTGTCTTGTATTGTGAGAGAACATAAGGACAGAAGAAGGATTTTGGATTCCTTTATCCATCAAAAAGAATCATAAGGATTGAAGATCAAAGGAGGAGAAAATCAATTGAAGATTTTCATAAGACCAACAAGCATGGATCAAGATTAGTCTTTCTTATTCTACAAGTAATTGCTGTGGTTGGATTAAATTAAATTAAATCTAGTAGGTCTTGGGAAGTAGATTTCATAAATGAAATCATTAAAATAAATTACATGGTTCACTCATGCCTAGTGTAATGCTCTAAGTTTCTACTCACTTGTATAGTTTCATCCTGGCTTTTTTTGGGGTCTTCTATAGCTACATGTTCTAAAGCAATGTAATAAGTACTCTTGTTCCTTTTTGTAATATATTCATATTTTATCCCAAAAAAAAATATCATTTTGGCACATTTATGCAAAGTTTTGGACAGAAAAAAATTCACAAACTTGACGGATTCATCACAATTGTCAAGTAAATATGGAGAACCATGATTAGTTCATTGTTAGATTTAACAATTTGTGAAGAGCTTGTCCTACATCATACTGGCATGTTGTGGCTAGGATTTTTTTCTCTCACAAAAGGAATGTAACTCAAGTTTGCTATAATTATCAGTACAGGACTCACATAAATAACTGATGTAGAGATCCAATATTACAGTACTCCTTGTTTAACTCCTATGACACTTCCATTTCTATCAATTAGAAGAAAAAGTCAACTAAAACAAAATTCAAAACAATCATATCATATCATTGGTACCATACTTTATAGTTTTTTCTGATAAAAAACTATACTTCAAAGTTCATAAATTGAAAAGGAGATATAATAGTAAAGTTAATGATTCCTCAAGAAAAGTCCCTACAACCATATGTATATATATAAACAAAACACCTCGTGACTTGGTAATACTAACAAGTAAATTAACATAACGAGTTAAAGAAACTATTCACTTATACGAATATCCTTTCAGTGATGAACAAAAACCAGGCAATATTTCTGAACTAAATAAAAACATTCGTTTTTTTGTCAATCAATTCCATTCGTTTTTTTGTGACACTTCCATTCGTTCACAAGCATTGCTGCACTGGTTTTGTGACATCCCGATCCCGCCCTCCTTTTAGGGACCAGACGCGGACCGGCGATATCAATCCTAACTCCCCCCAACCGCCTTTTCCAGTGAGCCCAATGCCCTCCCTCTAGGCCCGTTGGCCCAACGTCCTCTCTAGGCCTGTTGGCCCACCACTGTCCGACGGTCGGGAGTCGTTAGTTCGGAAGGCTCGTAAGACTTGTCTACTGTGCAATCACCACATGATCTTTTCTCCATGCTTTGTCCTCACTCGCACGGTACCGCAGAGTACTTCCCGGTAGGTTACCCATCCGAGGATTACTCCAGCATCAGCACGCTTAACTCTGGAGTTCTCTCAGCACCCTTGACCAGAAAAGATAAGTGCACTTTGTTGACATAGGTAGCCAAATCAATTCTTATAAGCCTTTCCATATATACCGAAAATCAAGATGTTACAGGTTTAATACGTACCTGCCAAATAGTTTTATCCTAACAAAGAACATTCTTTATGTTCCTTCCAAGTGATAATATATAGACATATGCAAACATTTTGGCCAACTTTAGTAAACGAAGCGCGAGAGAAGAAGTTATGGAAACTGTTTTTTTTATTATTTTTTAACAAAATTTATTAAAAAGTAATTTCTTTAATTGGTTTTTAATTTCAAAAAGTAAAACGGAAAATTTTATATTTAGTTTAAGGAAACAATAATAGGCAAAAAACACATTTCATAAGAGAAAAAGAAAAAAATATATTTTAGTTTAAGATAAGAAAACTAAATATTAGATTACAAATTCACAACAAAAAAAATTGTTAATCTTTTTACTTCATAAGCTACAAGTAATTTCTTGTTTCATGTTAATCACTTAAGTTAATGTTGTACGTATATATTTGATTTAATCCAACCAGTAATACTTTTATGTAGAGGAAGAAACACTTACCTTGATCCATGTTTTTTTTTAGTGTTTGTTATGAGAATGAATTTGATTTCTTCTTCTTTAACATTTTTCTTTTATAATCTCTTTGATAGAGATGAGATCTAAATCTTTCTATCTTTTCTTTTAGTTTTTATGTATATGTGTTCTAGTGTTAGTCCCAAAATTTTATGATTATGAGTTTTTTTATAATAATCTAAACATTCTCTAATATTAACATGTGTGAGGATAAATGTTAAGCTTAGATTTCTTAAATATAATATGTGTCAATTAATACATATGCACCATTAATAAAAGACACACTTATCTATATATGTTCTATAATAAGAAAATACACATGTAACTATCACAATTAGAACACACATCCATATAATATATAATATCTATAATGAAAAATTTAATGTCATAAGGAAAGGATCATCATCAGTAAACCCAAATCTAATACCTCTAATCCAAATTAATCTATCATAATATTGTCTTTTATGCTGGAATTTTGAACATTAATATGAACTTGATTCTTGATAATTAAATCCATAGACACATATGTCACCTTAAAAAAATATTCTTTCAAATATATAGAGTGATTATTGAAACAATAGTGTAGTGATATAGAATAACTATACTCTAATTATTATAGTTTTATTATCTTGTGTTTAAATAATTTTATGATTATTCATAACTTTATTTTTAAATTTAAGTATTACATATTTTTATGGGTGTATTTTTTTTTTTTTTTACGGACTATTAGATATTTTATTATAAATTTGTATATATATAGGTAGATTATAAAGTTTAAAAATAAATAAATAGATTTTATAATTTAAAGTTATTAATAGATAAATATGTCACAGTTTTAGGTAAGTGTGTGTCATCATGAGAAAAAAGGGAATTTATACTTTATACATATATTTAGATTTACTCTTATAGATAAGATGCTATATGAGTAAATGGTTTTTCTAATTGGTTAAGGTAATTTGACCAACGGTCTAATATTTCTGTAGAAGGTTATTTCTCCTTTTTTTTGTCATCGGTAGAAGGTATTTTTTGTTCAGTTAATGTCCAACTTTGTTCCATTTTTTCTTTAATCCGAAAAACAATTCAGTAAAAAAGAAAAGATTTCCTTCTCGGTTTCTCGTTTCCTTCTCGAATCTTCCCTCTAAATAGCTATTTTGCTCCGTCCCGCCACACTCTGCAACTTTCGAACCATCGAAGAAATCAACAATCAAATCTTCAAAAGCAAATCAATTTCCAAAACCTAAAGCTCAGTTTTCCTACGACTTCAAAATGGAGGAAGGCGAAGGTGAGGTCATTCATCCTCTCCAGGTGGGAGAAGAAAGAGTTCCTGGGACTGTTGATGTTAAGAAGAAACTGGTCAAACCCGGTGTTGGCTGGGAAACTCCTCAACTCGACGACGAAGCCACATGTGCTCTTTCTTCTCTCTTCGATTATTTACTTTGCTTGCTAGACGCTTTGATATCTTTACTTTGTTTGACTTTGACGGTTTGATTTTACAGTTGATTATATTGGTACTACACTTAGTGGTGGAATTTTTGATTCAACAAAAAACCATAGAAAACCTTTGACTTTAGCGATTGATGAAGGTGAGAGTTTGATCGTTTTTGCTTCTTCTTAGTTATTACCTATGATTGATTGGTTCACATGCAATTTTATTTTCTCTTAGGTGAAAATATGGTTCCTAATGGGTTAGGAAATTGCATTATGACAATGAAGAGAGGAGAAATTGCATTGTTCACATTCCCTGCAGACCCAAATCGTGGACATGATGAGGATTCGCCTCCAAGTTCGGTTATTCAGGTTGAAATCAAACTTATCTCGTGGACTCCTGTTATTGTTATAGGTGAAGGTATTTTCAAGAGATATATAGAGAAAGGCAATAACAATGAGAAGCCTGGTGTTTTGGATGATGTTCTTGGTGAGTATATGTAGTTTAATCTTCTTGTTATCTTGGCTTTTATGTTATCATAATGAAGTGATAATGGTAAATAGTTGTTTCCAATTTGCAGTGAGGTACCAAGCTGAGAATGATGGTAGTGTTGTGGCCAAAACACCTGATGAAGGCATTGAGTTTTGTGTGAAAGATGGTAAAATTTACTTTAAACTATACATTTCATATAGAGTTATGAAGGGTTTTATTTTTCCGATTAGGTATGCAATTGTTTTTAGGCCATCTATGTCCAGCATTGCCACTGACAGTTGTAACCATGCTTCCCGGAGAAAAGGCCAAATTGGTTGTTCTGCCTCAGTGTATGTGTGGATGTCACTTTCTAAACTTTTTTAACTTCGGGTTATTGTGAAATTATTCTCCTTGAATCTGATAAAAATATGCGCAGATGGGTTTAGAGAGGAAGGAAGAAGTGCAAGTGGGAAGTTTCCTGAGATTCCACCAACTTCTGTGCTAGAAATTGAAGTAGAGCTGGTGTCCTTTAAATCAAAGATCCGCAAGAAAGTTATTAGAGATGGCGAAGGACCAAGTGTTGGAGACGATGGTGCCACTGTTACTGGTACGTGTAACGTGTAATATATAATCACAACTCTGTGGACATGTGCAAGTATATGGAGCAAGTGATCTTTCTCTTTGAGATTAGGCGTTATCATGGTAGTTGGCATGACGTAGTTGTTAGTTTCGTACAGTCACTTACGTTGCAAAGCTAGAGGATGGAACTATATTCGAAAAGAAAGGAGTTGAGAAAGAGGAACCACTGGTTTTTGTAACTGATGAAGGTCAGTTAATGTATTCTAATCAATATTTTGGCCCTAATAAGTGTCATTAATCTCAACTTTGACACAAACTTGAATACCTTACTTGGTTTATGTTGTACTATTTATAGAGCAAGTGATCTCTGGCTTAGACAAAGCTGTTACAACAATGAAGAGAGGGGAAAAGGCTGTATTGACGATAAGTCCTGAGTATGGTTTTGGAAATGTGGAAGTCCAACGTGACCTCGCTAAAGTCCCACAATGTGCAGTCCTCACCTATGAAGTTGAAATGTTAGACTTTGTCAAGGTAATAGCTAATGCTGGAAGTACTGAGTATTGAGCTCTGACTCTATAGTTTTTGCTACTCTCTATTATGTCCATAGTTCTGAACTGTAGCAAAACTTTTCCTGTATTTTGTCGATAGCTTAACCAAATGTGACTTATTATCCTCATCAAAACAGACCTTTAAGCTGACTCCAAAAAGTTACCTTTTGTTGAAATAACATATTTTGCATAACGTATCTTCATATCCACCATGGCATCAGTCATGAAAAGTATTTATTTAAAATCTTCTCTTTGTTGTTTTGTTGAGAGCAGGAGAAAAGACCATGGGAGATGACTAATCAAGAAACAATAGTGGCTGCTAACAGAAAGAAAGAAGAAGGCAATCTTCTACACAAGAATCAAAAGTATCAGCGAGCAGCAAAGAAGTACAATCAGGTAATTCATCAGAAAAGTTGTATCAGGGAGACATAAAGATATTATTTGAATACCTGAAATCATTTTGAACATGATAATATATAAATATATATATATATATATATATATGCTTACAGGCTGCAGAGTGTATTGCCAATGGCTATTTCTATGACGATGAAAAGAAGCAAGTCGAGGCTTTGAAAGTATCTTGCTTATTGAATGGTGCAGCCTGTTGTCTAAAACTAAAAGATTTTTTGAAAGCTACCTGGCTATGTTCGAAGGTAAAGAAGTAGATTCATCAAAATCTGTCTATCTTTTGTTTTAGCTATGCAAATTATTACTCTTGAGTAACTTAACTTTACAGAATGTTGGCATAGTGTGTCACAGAATTTGGTTTAAATTTATCTTCCCTTTGTATCAGATACCTTGGAAATGAATTCTTCTACTGTTTTGTTGTCGCAGGCGTTAATGATTGACTTCCAAAATGTGAAAGCTTTATACAGGCGTGCACAATCTCTCATTGAGACTGGAGACTTGGTTTCAGCGGAAACGGATATCAAAAAGGCTCTGGAGGCTGATCCTGAGAACCGGTAAGAGAAGAAACAGAGTAATGTTGTTTGTTGCATCCTCGTTTCTCCTGTGCATCTTATGCGTTGATTACTTTATATTTCTAGCGAAGTGAAGTCCCTTTACAGGACACTGCAACAGTCTAAAGCTGAGAGCTACGCAAGGCTTTATGCAAACATCTATGCATCAGCTGAAGTAAGTCTTTTTTTTTTGTCCCCCTTAATTTTACTTTCCATGATCATTCTCCAGGGAATTTCATTTCATTATATTACTAAACAACGTGATGATATCTTATTTTGTACTTGTGGCAGAAACTGGACCTTATGGAGATAGATGAAAAGTCATGAAATGTTTAAAATAGTAAATGGACGAGGGTTTTTGGATATGCTCAAGTAGTGGAAATAGTTAGTGCGACTCGGACATTTCTTTTTGTGTAGTTCATGTAGTTGCTGTTGAGCTTACTAGAAAATGTTTCAGGGTAGATTATGAACATGGAACCGTGAAACTGGACTATAAGTCTTTTGGGCCTTTATTACAGAACCTAATGAACGTTTAAATAGGTATTATTAGATCAGCTATTTTTTTTTTCCTTCTCTCTTCTCATCGTTTTGAACGTTTAAGAACCCATTCTGAGAACTTCTGAACTCTTTTTGAAAACGTAAGAAATAGGGCCGAAATAAAACCAAACTGGTAACCCAAATAACCAAATGGACAGATCATTAGATTTATTTGGTTTTTGATTCGGTTTGGTTTATTAACCAAATACCAAATTAACCAATTAGATTTATTTGATTTTTGGTTCGGTTCGGTTTATTAACCAAATACCTAATTGGTAACCGAATTATAATTTAACCCATATCAATTTGTTTATAGACCATATAATTTGCTATTAGAACCAATTATTTATATTGATTTTTCAGGGTATAAATTTTAAAACTAATTTAGTTTATCTTGTGAATTTTATAATTGATAAAAATACATTGATGTCATGTGCCCATATTCCATAGATTGTTAGTCAGAGATTAAATCAACAAGCTATCAATTTTTTTAGTTTTGTCATTTTGGAAGTAAAAGAAAAAAACAAACTATATGGTTTTGGAGACGATATTAATCACTGTAAAAATCTATAAACTGTTTTTCTTTTTCTTTTTTTCATTTTTGTTGGTGAAGTATTTTTTTTTTCAGAATCGTCAAACTCTTTATCTTATTGAAATTTAACTGTATTATTCAAAATAATTGAAAAAAATATTAAGTCGTTTATTATTTGTAAAATCCAAAAAAACAAAAATCTGACCTAACCAAATCGAAATGGAATTTCCTCCTAAATGGGACCTAATATTTAAAAACCATAATTCCTAAAAACTGAAAAATTCAAACCAAATTAAACCAATTAACCGAATGTCCACCCCTCTGAAATTGTTTTTTAACGCTTAAGAACCCATTTTGAACTATGAAGAACGCAGTTTGAACTATTAAGAAATGTTTATGAACGCTTAATAATCTATTCTAAATGGTTTAGAAGCGGTAAGAACGTTTCAGAAACATTTCCGAAATATCTGCATGAAGTCAGCCACACACACAAGTGGGCAAGCCGGTTTACGGTTTTATTTCGCTTTGTCAATTCAGTTTTATAAAAAGCATTTATAAAACTGATTTTGATTGACCATTTTTTTGAAAGACTAAAGATAAAACGTTACAAAATATCAATTGTTATCCAAAAGATTTGAATATAGAAAAAGTGTTTTCTTTTCCTGAAATCAAATAAAACGGATATGTTTACATGTCCATCCACCTCATATATGTTATCTAAAAATAAAACTGATGAATTACTAAAATTTCCATTAACATACTATACTAACATATGCGTGGTCATAATTCGATCAAATAATCTATATCTCTTACGGTAGAAATACAGTCACACAAAACTGATAGACAAGATCATCACCTTTCTTCACATATTAAATGTACTTACTGTTCCTCTCAAATAATCTATCTCCACATGTATTATTGTTCCTCTCATCACCTTTCTTCACATATTAACTTGTTAATTAAAGAAATATATAATTTAATTAGCTAATTTCTCTCTTCTTTTTTTGAAAAAACAACTTATTTTTCCCTTATTTCGCATAAAAATCATATATATAAAAAACGGTTTTACTATCTTCCTATTGGACTTTGTATTGGACTACTTGGCATCTTTTAATTATTTTGTTTTTTAAAAATTATTATTTACGTTTTTAATATTTAAGACTCTTAACTACACTATAAATAGTAAATACACCACACCACTACGAAATAAATTTAAAATAAAATAAAATATTTCTCCCCATTAAAATCATAATTACATTAATTCTTTGAACAGATTTTAACTAGCGTCTATTAAATTTCTAAATAAAATATGAAACCAAATAGTTTTATATAAATACATATACACATTAATACTTGGCCGTTTTCATTTGGTGTAATAATTTTACACAACATGACCGTTTACAATGGAGTTTAAAAGTAATGGAGTTAGCAGAAAAAAAAAACTCAACTGTATTTAATGATGAAATATAATCACATGCAATTTAGTGTGGGAATCTATTAATCACACGTTACAAAATTGTAAATAAAAACCACCTGAATCATAAATGTGTAATTTTTGAAAGTAATGGGATTAACGAAAACATCTCCATTCAATGACACCATATAATTTTAATGTCAAATTACATTTACGTTTTTTCTTATTCAAACACACAATTAATGTATTTAAAATGAATCCATCAATTTTGTGCATTATATCAAATCAATTCGAATTTTATTAAATATATTTTCTTATATATATATATATATGTCATATATGAAGTTCTTTTATTTCCATGATCACACTCATTCACCTATGGCACATTTCTTTCTTACTTTATTTTCTCACGCAATTCATTCCCAACAAAACAATTGTTTAAAAACTGATCACTCATTCGGTTCCATAAAACAGTCTTTACAATTTTCATCCCAAAAAAACATATTTCAACTGTAACAGTGGCTATAGAGTCAAAACTAGCTTCAAAAGTCGGTAAACCAAAGGATGTAAAAGATATTTTTTGTCTCCACCATAACCCGCGCAAGATCTCCAAAATCCTTCACATTAGAAAATCTTTCTTCTCCTCGGATATTGTCGGTGTATAGACCAAGTTGATGCTCAAGAGTTACCCGCTCTTGACTAAAATCTTCTGGATAAAACTCAGACAATCTCATAACTTTAAACTGATCAAACTCATGAAATGAATCAATGAGGCTCAAAGATTCAATGCAACCAAATAATTCAATATTTACCTCATCAAAACGATCATTAGACTCTTGAATTTGAATATCAAATATTGTGTAAAAGCATTCCACCTTGTAATGATGCAAGTTGGTTTTGTTGCTTTTCATTCTTGGATTCATTGAATCTATGAATTCTTCTTCCATAACCAACAACTCTATATTATAATTCTCATAAAAAGAAAAAACTTTGTTGATAAGAGATTTTTATCCATTATCCATGAGCTTGTACAATTGTTGATTGATGAATTTCACTAGTGACATAGCATTCAGAATATTTTGATCTTTCCTTTGTAAAGTCTTTGATTAATTATTTGTGAGTCTAAGAAGAAAAAAACACAAAATCAAAAGAAAAGTAATTGAGAAAATCGTTAGCTTGGCGTATTTTAATACTATAATTCCCATCGCTTTCGACATACTCCAACACTTTAATGATAGAAGAAAATAGATCAACTAACTGCAATAATTTTTTATAGTGAGATCCCCAACGAATTTTATCAGGTATTTGAAATGAAAGCTCCTGATTCAATATTTTTCCTCTCATAATTTCACCTTTTTCGATGGTCTTCTCGAACCATATATTTTCTCTTACAAGAAGCTCCAACAACATTTAACAAGACAACAATCATGTCAAAAAAATCTCCAACTTCAAAATGTTTTTGAGCTATTGTAATAACAACCAATTGAAGTTGGTGAGCAAAACAGTGAACATAGTAAGCAAAATTATTTTCTCTCAAAATTAGAGCTCTCAACCCATTGAACCTTCATATTACTCGCTCCATTGTACTCCTGCCCTTTTAACTTGTTCATACTCAATCCATGTTTAGCAAACAATGAATCAACATCACATTTGAGAGATAAAGACGATGTTTCTTTCACATGAACAAGACCAATAAAACTTTCTTTAACTGTCACATGCTTATCAACAAAGCAAAAGACACTACCATTTTTTCTTTATCAGAAACATATGCAAATTCATCCACCAACAAACAAAATACACCATGATCAACTTCTTGAATAACTGACTCAATAACTTCTTCTGCAAAGCAATGAACTATCTCTGTTTGAATTTTGTGAGACACCATCTGATTATTTTTGGGAGCATTCTCCAACACAACCTTACTTACAATCTCATTTTGCTCAGCAGTATATTTCACAAGCTCCAAAAAAATTCCTTTATTAATTGAATCCACCAACTCATTGTGACCTCGAAACGGTAATCCTTGTCGTAGCAAATATCTACAAGCATCAATTGAAGCATATAATCTGATATTGTATTCATTTTTTGCTGCATCTTCTGAAAGATTGATTGTCCTTGCTTCATCAGATAATCAGATTGAAACAAGGATAATCAATATTTCATGCTTTTTATAAGCAATACACTACAAGACACCAATTTACATCGCACCATTTCGATGTAAATTAGACGTAAAACGCACTTTGCATCGAATTAGCGACAAATTTCAATTCGTCGTAAAACGAGGATCATAAAACCAAAATCATCGTAAAATCAACGTAAATGTTCCGATAGTATAAATTCATCGTAAATTCGAGGGTAAAAATTTGTCACAAACTTGACATAAATATTTATGTCGATATTATGACGAATATAATTTCTACACCAAATTGACGTAAATTCGATGTAAATTTACATCGATTTTAAAACGATTACTCAGTAAATAAATAATCATAATAATGATTTAGTTTTCTAATATTCAACGTTAATTCATTGTAAAATTTTGACGGTAAATCGTCGTAAAAGGATTTAACGTAAATTCGTCGTAAAGCTTTTGTCGTAAATTCGTTGTTATGTTACGTCATAAGACCGACGTATAATTCAACCTTCTTTCGGTGAGTGGCTTCGAAGTCCTTTGTCATTGGAGGAAGTTCTCTTCCGTTCGCCTCCACCTACGAAAATATTAAAAATTATTAGTAAATAATTCAGTTTCAATTGCCTCATATATGTTCTTCAATGGATAACCCTTTTCACCGGTTTTAATAAACTCCTTCTTGCACATTCTTGGACATGAACTTTTTGCTTGTTCTACATGAGCTCGATATGCATCCTTGAGCTGTGGAATACTTTCAAAAGCCAATCTCTATAATGCAGAAAGAAAACAAATACTTTCAAGACTCTCAAAACTACATTGTTAAACAACAAACGCAAAAATTACCTCAAAGGAGTTATGAAGCAGGAGAAAGTCCATGAATTCAGT